GCCTCGTTTTTTTAAGAAAATGTTTCAGTTGCTAAAATTGTTTCATCGCTTTTTCACCATCTTCCTTTCCAGGGGAAAGTAAAGATGAAAAAAGTTCATCATGAAGATAACCATGATAAAATTATAGTAAATATATAAATCAGCTCATTGAAGGTTACAAAAAGTTCAGAATTCGAGACTTAAAGACTTATTATTTCCCCACCTCCCAGTCCTTTACTCTCACTGCTCCTCATCACCCTCATCGTCATTTTCTCTCTTTTTAAATACAGGATGAAATGGATTTCAAAATCATTTCTTAGGTTATCAATCATCAAGTCCATCGAGTTGCCGTAATCTTAATAAACATTAATCTACTCCATCTTCATTTTCACTTCATCAAAATCTTATTGACTTATTTTCTTATCTCCATCTTTATCCTCATTGTCTTGATCATTTTGAGTATCAACGAATGACAGATTCGCATTCAGGTTACTTATTTTAGCTCACAAATGTATTAACAATTAATCGCTAATGGATAAAATCCTAAATCAGTGATAACAATTTATCAACTCCCCGCTTTTCTCTCTCTCTCTCTCTCTCTAAAGCACATCATCATCATCATCATCATCATTATTATTATTATCACTTTTTATCATCATTATAATAACAATAAAAAATGATGATTGTAACCCAAATAAAAATATCAATAGTAATCACAACAAACAATAACCAACCATAAATAACCAACAATAAACAATCAATGTAATCATGATCATGGTGATTCAAACGAGTTGGATAATAAACTGAATTATTACTTTGAACAAGGTTCGAAGATAAAAGTGAAAACAATAAACAAACAACATGATTTGAAATGGTAATCAAATTGTTGATCATTTATAATAAATTACTAATCCTGAATAATCATAATTATTACAAGTAATAAAACCCATGAAAGAAGGAGATGATTCCATGGGGTGAATCATACTAAACCATCATCATAATCATCATTCTCATCATCATATCAACTGACAGAGAGAAAAATCTGACAGAAAATCTGTAAGCTTTTTTTTTACTTTTTTTCCATGATAAATTCTGAATGAGTTCCATGTGAATATCAACTATTCATGCAAATGAAGCTCTCTTTTGGAACGGAAGTTAGAACCTTCATTTGAATGAACAGAACGAAAAACTTTTCCATCATGAGAAATTATGAGAAGCTCATGATGCTTCATGGGAGATAAAATAATATCAGAATCATTTTCCTGGAACTATATATTATTGTGAGTAAAGAAATTCTGTAAAAAATTCTCATATAATACTCAATAACAATAAGGTGTAAGAATCATTCATTCATCATGAAACTCAAAACTTGGATGAACTTTTCTCAATTTTTCAACCAAAATTTGTCCACCTTCATGATAATAATAATCACGATCATAATAAAATAACAAAGAGTTATTAAAATAATAACATTTCTATTGGTTCATTAATTTTCAATCGTTGAAGTATCTTGATAGTTAATTCACACCCAAATCATTTCCCACTCACAACATCTTATTCATCACCCACTTAACTTAATTCACTTGGAAACTAACGTTTAATATGTAAATAAAAACAATTCAATTTAATCCAATATATTGAAAAATAACTTTTATTTGTAAATTCATTCAACCTCACATATTCAAAAGTTTTCGAGCTCATTCATGATGGCAATCCAGTTTTACTGAGACTTTCACCCTCCCAACCAAACCTGATCTACATACTTGTCAGTGTAAAGAGGTGGACACACCAGCAAATACACACGAAAAATGATAAATTCATGATGATGATGAAAACATGATAATCCAACTCCTCGATTCTCACTTTAGAAACTTATCCTTAATAACTGTAGATGGCGTGATGAGAATGATAATAATCAATGGGAGAAATAATTTCTATTCAAATTGATTATCAATTTAAAACATTTTTTCAAGGATTCAAAAGTTAACTCAATGTGTTGTGTTTGTGCTTGACTATTGGTAAAGCAAATATTGATTATGGTGAGAAAATATCTTCCATAACCACCAAAACCTCCCATGGTATATACATAAGAAACCTGAATATTATGTAAATTGAATTTCAAACAGTTTTCCATATAAACATAATACAAAAATGACAATTTTATTACCATATTATCATGATTATTAGCTCATTATTGTTATGATTATTTTATTGGATTCTCAGACCCTTCAGAGTTTCTGGTATTAGTTGATAGTAATAATAATTAGGGAAGTTGATAAACTTTAATCATTATTAGTATTGGAAAATTGCTTTTCCTCGGTTTGTTAATTAGAGTTAATTCTTGTCTTTTGATTATCTATTTGTTGAAAAACCACAGAGACAAAACTTTTGTTATTATTTGTAAATAGAATCAGTTTGTTATCATGTGTAATGAAACAGCACAGGGAAGGGAAATTAAGGTGAACATTGTCAATGGGTGATAAGTTAACATCCTTTACTTTCAACTGAATGATGGAACTGGAAGTGATAACTTGAGCAAAGATGATGGACCAATGGACCATGTGCCTTGGTCAACATTCTTGCAGGACATTTCCATCATTAGATTGTAAGTAAACACTTCAATATCAAGTCCACTTGAGTATAAATCGGAGAGAGAAGATGCTATGGATGAGAATATGATAATAAAAAACTGAAAAGAATGAGAATAGAAAAATAAGAAGAATAATAAGAATAAGAAGAAAATTTGTTCTCAATAAAAAGATGATGAGGATGATGAAGAAGAAGATTGATGCGAAAAGGTTATTCAGTGGAAAGGTGACTTTGATAATGTTCATGGAGGCAAAGATAAACTCTAGTGATGGCTGATGAAAAGAGTGCAAGATCTAGTATGACGAAAGAATGAAGATGATGATGTGCATGTGATGGTATTGATGAAGATTCTGTAGGTAAAGAAAAGGTGAGAAGTAAAAAAACTCAATCGGAAATTTCATCTCATGTGAATCCGGAATGAGGAATAACTTTCTTCCGTTTACTTAACCAGTTTATCCTCCCTATCCTGATAACAACCAGCATCATGACAAAATTTCAAAGTAATTAACATGATAAAGATACAATTGGGATCATATCATGATGAAAACACAACCAAAGGATAAAACAAACTAGCATACTCATTTAAATGCCACTGAACCATTCGGAGAGCGATGATGAGCTTAGTGCACTGAATTTATCAGGTTGAATCCAAGAGTCATGATAACCTGTTGAAAATTTGGGAAAATCAATTGAAATTGTGATTTGATTGTCAAGAAAATTTAACAATAATATAGTTGAGTATTGTAGAGGTGGCAAAGGTAAACCTAAGGATGGGTTAAGCTTAAATTATCATGAAATTATGATCAGTGGGAAATTTAAGTCCAATATCAAATTGCCATTATTATTAAAATTCCAGGTTGTTATTATTCATGAGCATCATGGCGATGATCAGACTTTTTCAATAGAGTGAAATTCCTGTTTCAGTTTCATGGAAATTTTTTTCCCTGGACTCATCCTTTCTTGAAGCTCTGATCATTATTGTCAGAATGAAATTTGATCAAATTATTTTCTCTTGAAACATTTTCATGCTTCTCATCATTATCATGTGATCAGATAACCTTTCATCTATTTCTGAATATTGAATAATTGTTATCTCAAAGGTAATTTGATAACCTGTTTCCTTAAATTCATTACCCATGAATTAGTGTTCATGAATGCTCAAGATTACATGGTAACTGGACAGGGAAGGGGGAGTAGGAAATTGTATTACATTTAAGCTATTCCACTGCCAAGAAATAATCAACAGAACGAAAGGAAAATCAACAATTTAATTAACATGTCATGATAATAATTATATTAACCTTAATTTGTCATCAATTTCACCATCATTACAATATTAATTGTATCCAATGATGGCAGAGGTGGTGAAGTGAGTTGAAGGAGGAAGAGGTTGAAATCAATTCAATTGATATACAGTTTCACTGGTGGAAGATTAATTTGATTACAAATAATCATGATTCACTTTCCACTCAACTTTTATCTCAACTGTTTATCTAATAATCGTAACAATTTAAATTTATCATCATCATGTTATTCAATAATAATTCATTTAAGTTTCAAGCTTATTTCATGATGATACTTAATTTTATTTACTCTTGTGTTTATACCCAGAGAGAAGGGGGAAAATTACTGATAAGTTGTTCATTTGGGATGTGAAGGTTTTCATGATATAAGAAGGGAGAAAAGTTCAGTAATCAAGTTAAAAGATATTAAATAAAATTGATAACATGGAGAATTGAATTTCCTGTTCAAAATTGTGAACTTTCATTTTCTCAAACGCAGAAATTTTCAACTTGATTTGATTATTTGTCTCAATCGATTATAATTAAACAGCAGATTATAATTGATTACCACTAATCTGATAATTGTTGATCGATTCCATGATCGTCTTAATTGTCTATCTAATCAGTGATTGGGTTGATGATTTGATTTATTTATCTTTTTCCTTTGCTGATTGTTATCTAATGAGCTTATTGTTTTATGGTGATTGTGATTTAATACAATTAGATTTTGGTAAGTGATTTAAAATGCAAATACAATTTTATAGTAATTAGTTTGTGATTTATTTTTAGGTTGATTTAGGTGATAAATCGTTTTCTCATCTAATTGTTTGGTAAAAATTTGATGATGATAATGAGATTTAAATCCAATTTGATTGTTGATTTTCCCTTTTCCTTTTCCTTTCTCTTTCTTTATTTCTATTTAATCTTGATTCTCTGATTCCATCATGAACTCTGGATGGTTGAATATTGATTTTGTTTCTCTCACTATGTGTATATTTGTTCATGATTTGGGAATCAACATTTTCTATGGATTTTTGTGTACACTGACTTTTGTTTGAAAGAAATTGATTTTACTCTTGATTTTGTTTGATTTTCACTTTCAATTAATTAATTTATTATCCGGTTCATTTGTTGTATTAGAGCGTTGAGAGAGAAAGAGAGTGAGGGAGAGAGAGAGACAATGATGAGAAGTGGGAGTTGGATGATCAAATTGGGTGCGAGATTAAATTAGATGATTGGAAACTTTGATCATTCATTGTTACCAACAAGTAATTACATGTTATTAATATTAGATTTTACTGCAACTTTTAATCAAGAACTATTTTTTTTGTCTATCAGATTGTTTCATGAGAGTTTGGGTGATCATCATCATGGTGATTGGTGTTAGTTGAGCATGAGGAACATTTTGATTGGAATTTGATTCGATTTAACAGATTTTCCGTTTCATTAAGCTCAAGAACCGACTACAAATGAGGCCACAATTAAAATTAATTACTCTTGTGTATAATAAACAGTGTGGATTCTTGTGGGAGTGGAAACAATGAGAGCAAAAAATATATATCGATTCATTGGGTTGGTGATAATGATGAAAATGAAGATGAAGATGAAGACGATAAGCTTGATGAGCAAATTCTAATGAATTTATCTCCTTTCAAAATTCCAGGACATGTTTTAATCTTCGTCTTGGATATTTTCGTTCAATAAAATCTGATTGATCGACAATTTGTTCACTTGATTATAAATTGATTAACTTTTCGATTACCATGAAATGAGTTTATAATTGAAACAATGAATTTGGAATCAATAACAATTTAATCATTTAACAATTAGAGTTAATTCACATTAAATTGTTGGCTTTACAAAGTTTTTTCTTCTTTTTTTCTTATTGCAAACAAAACGATTGATAAAATTTCCAAGGTAACTTTTTATCTTTTCTCTAGAGTTTCGAGCGACAATTCTGAACAATTTTGTCCATTCATAAGCATATTATTCATCTATCAGAGTGATTGGTTTGATAATTGTTTAATATTTACAATGCAATAGAGATTGAGACACTTCTGTAGTTACTTATGAAGTAACAATCAAAGGTGAGAAGAGAGTGAAAAAAGTTATCAAGCCTTGACAAGCATTCGGAGAGGGAAAAGGTAATGAGGCAATTGAATTGAGGTTGAATTGATTAACAGGGAAAGACAATTGTTGTTACGTTTAAATTAGAAGCAATCAACTGATTATCTAAAAAGTATCTTGCGAAAAGCTTTGCGAAAATCTCGATTAAAAACTGTATAAATGATTGGATTAATTGCTGAATTACAGTAGCCCAACCAGTAACCAAAGGTTAACCCGGAAGTAATTTGACAACTTTTGCATAAACCGGAAGTTAAATACATAACAAAAAAGGGTAACCAGGCAAGTATGAACGAGCCCATGATAAGACCTAAAATTAGGGTGGCCCGTCGTTCCCGAGCCTTTGCAATTTTCCTTTTGTGCCTCTCTGCATCGGACGGGGTGTGTCGTCGAGTCACTGGTGGGGTTTGATATTGAACTTTTCCTTTTCCCTTAGGTGATTTTTTACTTCCACCGCCGCTTCCCTTAAGTGAAGATGATGATTGTTCCGGTTGGTCACCTGAATCATTACACAGATCAGAGTCATCATAATCCGCTATTGACATGGTCGAACCATAAGGTGACCTGGTAAGACCTCCACCGACTCCGCTGACACTTCCACTTAAACTGCCACCCGATGTAGGCACAGGTCCAAATCGACCACCACAAAGACCACCACCAAGTGATGCTGACGAAGGTGAAAGAAATGCTTTCGATTCTAAGGCAAAGTTACCACTATGTCTCGATATTGGCGATTCCATTGCATCCGAATCATCATCAGCTGATATTAATCGAGTCTCATTGATTATACTTGATTTGGAATTAGTTTGATTACCATAATTACTATTATTGATTGACGTTAATCCATTTGAACGTAATATCGAAGTCGGTGCAATCTGGTGCGTTGACATATCGTAATCACAACTGTCGTTACCTGCACTATTAAGATAACAATCAAGGTCTAAATTACTGTTATCCGGATGATTAGAATTGTTTCTATTGTAATTGTGAATCGAATCGTCAATTGCTATTCGTAATTTAGGACATTTACGCTCAGAAAGTGAACTCGAATTACCAGAATGAGAATAATTAGTCTTGATTGTCGGTGATGTTGCTACCGTTGATTTAGATGATACTTGATTATCACAAGAATTAGTTGAACTTGATGATAAATTGGTTTCCCGATTATTAATCATTACTGAATTGCTCCCACTATTTGTTGCACTATTAACATTGTTTTTAACGTTAACTAACGTTGACACATTATTATTATTACAATTAGCATGATTATTATTGTTGGTTGATGATGATGAAGATGAACTATTGGCAGTTTCAATGATGATTTGTGGAGGTGGACAATTTGATGATGGTGATAAACAATCGTGTCTATTAACTTTACCACCTCCACCATTATTATCATCTGCACAATTATCTTCACCATAAACGGTATCTCGAGGTGAAAATGTTACCTTTGGTGTGGTCAATGTGGTCGGTGTGGAGCAAGGTGTCAATGCACCATCATCAAAATTTGATTTATTAACTATATTTACACAATTACCTGTGGTGGTTATTTGCTTATTACAATTGATAGTATCACAGTTTGATTTAATCTCCATTTTATCACGTATCTCTTTACTCTGGTCGAGACAGTTATCAGTAACCTCTTCCTGACCTTCGGGTGGACTTGGATTACTCATTGATGTGCATGTTGTTGTGGTTGTTGACTTATCTTTGGTCATATCATTGGTCACTTCGGCGACCAATAGTTTCCGTTTCTTAACATGTTTCCTTGCTCGAGATCGAGCGGCAACAAAAATTTTAGCATAAACAAAAACCATCACAATAGCGGGAACATAAAATGACCCGAAAGATGAATAAACAACGTAACCTGTATCCTTGGATAGTTCACATTCCCCTGGTCCGATTGAATCATTTTTCCACCCAACCAAAGGCGGAAGTGACACTAAAGCTGAAAATATCCATACAAAACAAATCATGAAAATGGCACGAGATGGAGTCCGTTTTTTAAGGTATTTAACCGCTTGTGTAACTGACCAGTATCGGTCAAGAGAAATGAGACACAGGTTGTTGATCGAAGCTGTACAAAGTAAGACATCTAATGCATGATGGATATCACACCAAAGGGCACCAAATATCCAGTAGCCCATAAGTTCATAGGCAAGACTAAAAGGCATAATAACAAGACCCAAAAGTAAATCGGAAACAGCTAATGAAGCTATGAACCAATTCTGAACTGTTTTCAATGATTTCTCAGTTGTAATGGCGATACAGACCAACAGGTTACCCACCACAATTACAATCATTATAATTGTAATGAAAAAAGCTAATAAAATGATAGCCAATTGAGTGTATCCTGATTTAGGGTAAGGAATTGATTCCCAGAAAGATATTAGATTATCAAAATTGGTGTTACTTGGATTAAATGAGTTATTGCTGTTCCCATTGTTGAAAGATGATGATGATGATGAATAAAGGGTTGATGTTGCTGATGGTGGGAAGAATGTTGATTCAATCCAATTTCCTAGACTATTAATATGATGAGAATTGTTATGAGAAATTGATGAGGAAGAGAAAAGGGAAGGCGAAGGTAAAGATAATGGTGATAGACTTTCATTTAGGTTGATCAGCTCTGATGATGATGGTGAATGGGAGGAAAAAGATGAAGATGAAGATGAAGATGATATTACCGATGGGATTGATAAGGATGAGAAGAAAGATAAAGGTGATGCTATTGGTATAACAGAGGAAATTGAATCACTTGTATTATTTTCATCAACTGTATCATTTGAAGATTCTAATAAAGATTCGTGAAATGGTGTTGGTGTTGTGGATGAAGATAATGTTGGTGATGATGCGTTTACATGATCACCCAATAAGCTAATTGGGTTAGTTAACGTTCTGTAAAAGTTAACTAGTGTTGAATTGGAACGATCAAGGTAAGTGTGGTTAACAGACACTGTTGATGATGAGGCTTCTGTGGTTGATGTTATGTTGGTTCTGAAGGCTTCTGGTGATGTTAATGCGGATACCAGGTTGAAGGTTGATGTTGATGTTGAGGGTGAGGGTGAGGTGATGGAGGTTGCAAAGGATTTGGTAGCTGATGAAGTTGATGTTGGTGTTATTGGCGGAGATATTGTTGAAAATGGACTGAACGTGAGAGTGGATAGAGTTGAAAGTAACGTTGCTGCTGATGTATTGTATTGGTCAGATAATGTTGACCGAAACATTGACCCGATGGTTGATGATGACGTTGATGATACTGCTGCTGATAGAGATAAATTAGATTCGGTTGCATTGTTGGAGGTAAAATTGGTTAAACTATTGATCCAAAGAGGATCAGTTGACTCTCGACTTTCACCACCAGCAATTGCTGAACTCACAGCGGAAACAACAGTTGATGTGGTTGAAGAAGATGAGGTTGATGATAATGATGATGTTGTATCAATGAAAACTCCATTGGTTAATCCCATCGAACTGGACAAACCATTGACCATATGAAACAAGGCAAAACAAATAGAAAAGAGAGAAGGAAAAATTATACAAAACGAAAAGAAAACTTATTTTATAAAAAAAGGAAGAGAGTAATGGAGTAAAATATGATAACTGACCAATGGTCAAAAGTGAATTTATTGATATCATAAAGTATCTCACCTTGTCTGGGAATTTTATGGTTGATCCAGAATAAAATATCGAATCTTTTCTGGAAAAGTTTTCCTTTTCTAACTTATCGATCTAATAGTTTACTTTGGGTAACATTTTTCCTCGAGTTTATAACGATATCGAGTTCTGTACATGGTAAATGTAACGAAACAAGAGTTATCCATCATATCACTTTCTTTGGGGAGTTGGGAGTGAAAGTGGGAGTGGGAAAGTGTTTTTATATTATACACTGTGACTAACAAACACACACTCACAATCCACTGAGATGATTTTCACGTTTCCAAGGTAACCTTAGAACTCGAGATATTTTTTGTTCTAATAGATCCCAAATATCCAAGGAGAGAAGATGAAGCAAAATGATGATAAATATCACTTACAGTATATCAGAAGTGCAGTTTAAATTGAGAGAATATCAACTTTTCCGATGAAAATTTTACGATTTTCTTATTTTCCCAATTCTTTTTTTTTATTTTCGATGTTCACCCAAATCGAATCGATGTTTAATTTTCAATGTTCATTTGGTAACCACATCAGTCGAAATGATTTTTTCTTGTCTTATTACAATGTGTTCAAACGAATTTGTTGCCAATATTAATTCTGACTCTAATCCAATTGAATTAATTAACTTGATTGTAAATCTGTTGGAATAAGAGGAAAAAAATAAAAACATTGTTATAAATAATTCTGAATGAATACTCAACTAGGGAATGATTAAATAAGAATAATTTTCCATCATCATCATGATTTGTAAGAGATAATCATGATTCCTGGAATCATGATGAACTAACTTTTCTCATTGGACGTAATCATAATAAATATAATTCAATTTAGTATAAATATTTATCTGATTTTGATTGGGTTCAATATCCACAATTAACTGTTCATGTTGATTTACAGGGTAATAGTTAATGAAATTGTTCTGATTTGTTTCTGATTGATGTTTTGAAAATGCTGAGAAATCAATTTTTCCACCTTGATGTTTTCCTTTCTTACTCTTAATAACTCAATGATGCAATGTTCATCTTCATGGTGTAATGATGATAACACTCATATGAAATCTGAACTTGCTCTGTTTCATGATTACTCAGGTATAATATACAAGATGTTCATGGAAAACAATTGATGAGCTTAAATGTAAGCACTGTGTTCAAGTTATTATCTTCATGTTATCTTAATCTTGATAAAACCATAGGATTGATTTGGTTAATCAATGGTAAAGATAATCCTCAAAAGTAGATTGAGATTATCATTATAATAATGTTATTATTATGATAACAAAATGAGTTAAGTCAACAGAAAATTATTATCATTATTAATCAAACAATAATTGTCCACCGACAAGATCAACAGGTCAGCATGATAAGTATCGTTTCAAATTCATATATGAATTTATACCAACTGATTTTACTCAGAAATTCAATTTTAGGATGAAACTTTAGTTTAAGAAAACAATTGTTACCATGAGGAAAAGTTTCTCAATTATTAATATTTTAGTTTCTCTTGAAATTGAGAGAGAGAGAGATATTTTCCTCCTTTATCATGAACTTTTCATGAAATGAAAGAACCTCAGTGAGCAAGGTTTCAATTTATTGCAGCAAATTAGTTATCTAATTAAGATTAGGTGAAAAAACATCAGAATGAGTAATTGTATGAAACAAGGAAGAGGAAATGATTAATGTAAATTCAGAACTTTTTTCAGAGCTGTTTGTTTATCTAAAACTGAGTTCAGGATGAAATTTTTGTTGTGGTTTTCCGAGAGTTTTTCCCAAATGTTTCAGCTTATTAAAAAAACTACTCAACTTTTCATGGTTGTTATAATTTTCAATATTCTTGCAGGAAAGTTAATAGGGAAGTGAAATATTGTAATTAAATAAAAAGCAAAAGGGTGAAATTGAATATTTTATAAACTAATAAATGATTATCATCAAAGATGATGAAACGTTCAGATATTTTCATGATGATCAACTGAAATTTTCACAAGAGATGAAGGAAAAAGGAAATGTTTTAATTGTAATTTAAGTGTTACCCAAAAAAATCATTGAAACGTAAACAGTTTAACTGAAATTTTTCATGGTTCTAATTATCAAAAACCTGAAAGAATTGAATTCAACTGTATGAAAATTATAGATACATAATGAAGCTAATTCATAACTGTAGTTTCCTATTTCCTTTCTGTTGAATATCAAATTTTTTCACCATCTTCTTCAATTATCCATAAGAATCCAAAGTTTTCATCACAAAGATGAGGATGCTAATGATTCTAATAATGCAAATGGATGATAATATTATCAAAGATTCTAGTGTTTATATTAAAACTCTTGATTCTCAGTTCGAATCCATCCCAACCAGATGTCTCTTTCACCGAGGTTAAGAATTCATTCATGATGATTTCACCTCTTCCACTGTCATGATGATCATCATCATCTCCATATTTTACACTTGCCTTTTATCCAAAGAAGAGTATATTAATTTCCGTTCCACATTAGTTACTCTTCTTCATCAGCACTGACATTTCTTTTCATTTTATCCTACTTCTCTCTCCATCCTCATCTTTTATCATCACATTATTTTGCATCACCTTATTTGACATTAACCTCTCTCCTCACTTTTTCCATCATCCGTATGCATTTACAGTAATTTCACCTCATCATCTTTAACTTTATTGTCTATTCTCTGTCTGCAGATTTTTTTCCTTTTATTTATTCTATTTAATATTAATCTCTTTCATAGAAATGATATTTCGTTTATTTTTACTATCAACTTGCTGCTCAATTTTATCTTAGAACTTTTAGTTTTCAACTGGAACTCTTTTAGAAGCCACTTTACATTACCTATTTTTGGATACATGGTGTTCACTAGGTGTGTTTGTCTTGGAGTAACCTTTTTTTTCATCATCATCATCTACCAAGGGGGTTCCTCTCAGCAAGATATTCCAAGGTATTCAATCTGCAATTTCCTCTCTCTTTTTCTTACTTTTTATCTCTCTTTATCTTCTATCTCTTTCTTCACACTGATTACAATTGCATCTCTATCATCATGATTCAATTGGAGTAAAATGAGGAAGCAAAAGAGATGCAGATGAAAACAGGATCATTTACATCGGGAAAGCTTTCGGATTATGCAAATAAACAGTAAAAATAAGTGGAAATAGTGAGGTTATTAATTCCCTGAGGACTGAAACTGGTCTAATATCAACCATAAGCAAACCAATAGATTGCCTATCTCAAAATGCTCAATCTCTTTCTGTGTTTATTTCTACCCTGGAAAACAAAATAATCATGATAATATTAGTAATAATAAACTCTTAATAATCATGACGAGAAAATGAAAGAAATGCAAAGAGAAGCAATGAAACTTTTTCTATTCTTGGATTTTGTTGGAATTTTCTAATAAATCGTTTTTTTCATTAGTAGAATATCAATTTGTTTGAAGAATCATGAAAAGTCAGAGCTGTCAAATCTCTTGAATTTGTTATTATATATTCTTTCATTATATTGCAATAATTTTCCCTTTCAAAACAGATAAATAAACACTTGACCACCGAGTATTTCATGATAATCATGGGAAATCAACTTTGCAAGTTATCGGTCATAATATAAGAATCAATCTGTTTCTTTCTTCTATGTAAATAGCTGGAAAGAGTTGATAAAATAAACAGAATCAGGAAAAAGATGAAGGAAATAATTCCAAGATAAAAGAGAACTTTTTTCTCCTTGATAATGTTATTATTGGAAACAAAATGATATTATCACTCCCACACTCAACTCTCTCTCTCTCTCTGCTAATTCAGCCAAAGAATTCAGGGTAACGTATCACCAGACTCTTTTCATGGTGAATTTTAATGAAATCTGAATAAAAACTGTCAATCTTCTGGACCTTTTAAATGGTCAGTCTTATATTATTCTCAATACAATCTGATGACAAATGAATGAAATATAAATAAGAAAAAGAGCAAGAGCAAGAGTTCTAAATGGAGATGATGGAGATAGAGGAAAATCTCACCAAGATAAAAAGAGAAAGAGATGATAAACTGAAGACAAAAAGTTCAGTGACAGAAAGAAAAACTTTGTTCTCGATTTTTTCACTTTCTCTAATGAAAATAGCTACTTTCAAGGAAATTAGAATCTTTTCTGTTCTATTTATTTTCCTCTGTAAATATAATAATATTCTCAAATGTATTTCATCAAGCTTCATGACAAAATGAGATTAATTTTGAAATTTTCGGGTAAACGAAGTGCTAACGAATAAAGTTTGCTTGGAAATTTATGAAATTCTCAATTCAACCATGATAACGATGAAAACCTGAGCTCCATGGAAGCTTCATAAGATATTCTGAAGAGTTTCCTTTGTTTTTTTCCTCCGTCATCATCATCATCATCTATTATTTTCATTGTATTTGATTTAAAAGCAATAACATTTTCACTTTTCCAAGTGACAGAAGCTATCAAGTTATTATGATATTATTAGAATGGTTTTTGATATAATATGAAAAAGAAAGAAAAGAAACTAGAATCTGGGAACAATATGGCGGGTGTAGAATAGAAAATTTTCTTCTGCATTCTTCTTCACGATTCTCTCTCTTTCTCTCTTGCTCTTTGAGAAGTCCATCAATCATCCATGAAAATTCTGACAGGAATCTGTTGATCTTGTGAATGTTTGATGATAAACGAAGGATAAGTTTCTCAAGTAAGAAGAAAGAAAAAAGTTATCGATGGAAGATAAGAAGATGATGAAAAAAAGCTATCATTCTAATATCATAATATCTATCTATCATTCGGAATATTACCAGAGAAAGGGGAAAAACCAATCGGTCATTTGGAAGTCATCACTAAAGATGATGATGATCATCATCATCTCGAGATAAGATGATCGAGATAAGATATTTTTCATTGAAAAATTGCTTTACTTTATCAATAACAGAGAAGAAAATTTTTTTTCAAAAGTATAATGATGAGTTCTCTTGGTGATATTATGATGTGAAAATCTGATGAGAATTTTTCTCTGCATCATCAGATAAAACAAGGTAATCAAGTAGAGCAAGGGATGAGATGAAACTGAAAGATGATGATGACGATGGGCTGGTGAACTTAGTTGAAGGTGATGAGAAAATTGTATTTCAGAGGGAAAATGGTGACAAAGTTTTAGTTCAATTCTAATAGAAAAGTGAAATTATTTGAGTAACAAATGATTGAATTAAACGTAATCTATGTAAACTGATGATGTTCATGAAGATTGAGAATCAAAAGGCGTGGTTTTAATATGATAAATTGAATCACTCGAACAAAAGATCTTCAATGTTCATCTGATAATCTCAACTCTCAATTCAGTCAATCTCCACCCTCACAAGTCATACTACTCCAATTGTTTTATTATTCACAGTCTCAGAGTTATCAACATATCTTATCAGTTTCTTCATCTCTCTCTCTCTCTCTCTCTCTCTCTCTCTCTCTCTCTCTCTCTCTCACTCACTCATGTATTTTCTATTTATTCCTTGCAAATATTTAGGAGACACATCACCGTCATCAACTTGATAAAAAAAATTCTGAACTATTTTCAGAACTCGAGATATTACATATTGTTTGAGTTCTGAGAGTTTTTTCATTCTTTCTGATTCCTATCATTTTCATGGAGCATTGTT